AGAGCAAACAAACATATGACAGGCTCTTCCAATAAATTCTCAACTTATTCTCTAAGTTCACACAATGATAAAGTCCGCATAACGGATGGATCTTTAGCCTCTATATCTGGAATAGGTTCAATTAAATATACTCCCACCATTAATCTATCTTTAGTCCTTCATGTTCATAGTTTTCCTATTAGCCTTTTATCTGTTAGTTCAATTAAAAACGCACTTGATTGCAAAATTGAATTCTTTCCCACTCATTGTGTTTTTCAAGACTTGAAAACAAGGTGAACGATTGACTTTGGTAGATCGCAAGATGGCTTGTATCTACCAAATGAAGGTTGCAATACCTTGATTCCTAGTATAACCCTAGCCCTGTTAGGAGAATCTATGAATGTTAACCAAGAAACAATCTAGTGGCATAGACGATTAGGACACTCATCTTTTTTTGTTTAAGAAAGATTATATCCTAGTTTGTAAAAACAATGCAAGTTGGATTTATTATTCTGTGATGCTTGTGAATTAGCTAAACACACCATATCTTTCAATTAACAATAAGAGTTCAGTTCCTTTTATGACTATTCGTTCTGATGTATGGGGACCTAGTTGAACAGTTTCTCTATCCGGTTACAGATGGTTTGTTACCTTTTATCAATTGTTGTACTAAATTAACTTGTGTTTATTTGATGAAAGCAAAGAATGAGTTTTTTCTTGTTTTCAACTATTTCACAAACTGATCTGTACACAATTTGATGCCAAGGTTAAGATTCTACGAACCGACAATGGTACAAAATACATTGATGGTGTGTTTAGCGCATATCTAGATTCCAATGGGATATTGCACCAAACTAGATATGTGGACACTAGTGCACAACATGGAGTGCCTGAAAGGAAGAATAGGCATCTATTAGAATTTGCTCAATCTCTCATGTTTACTATGAATGTTCCAAAGGTTTATTAGGGCAATGAAGTACTTTCAGCCGCATAACTTATTAACAAAATGCCCCTAAAAACACTTAATTTTAAGAGTCCTTTAGAAGTTCTACAAGGTTGTAATTCATATATTGTTCTTCCAAAACTTTTTAGATGTGTGTTTTGTTCACAACAGGAATGTAGCTAAGTTAGAACCTAGGGCCCCTAAATGTGCGTTTTTTGGCTACTCTGCAGCTCAAAACGGATATAAGTGTTATCAACCACCCTCAAGAAAGTACTTTGTAAGTATGGATGTTACCTTTAGGGAGTTTGAGCTTTATTTTTTTACACCTCAGTCACCTCTTCAAGCGGAGAATAAGGAGGAAGAGGTAGAGGTGATAGCACCTGCCCCTATACAGTTTTTTTGTCAAAATCATAGTGATGACAAGGAACAACCTAAAACTGGACGATTGGATAGGTCAGATTTGAAAACCTACACACAACGAGACAAGACAAATAAATCCATCGAGTATGTATTACTTGGTCAAGCGCCATCTCTGAGTTCAGTCCCTAAAAATACATGTGGTGTCTCTTTTAACTTTTGATTGCACTAATTCTATTTCCATTGCTAATGATCTTGATGTTCCTATTGCTATCAGAAAAGGAGTCAAAGC